TCTGACCCCCAATCGCCATCCCCGACTCCTCGCACAAAGAGCCCGACTCCCCCTAACCATGGCCTCTTCCATGGTCCTCACTCCCTACCCCGCGACGCAGCCTCAGCGCTCTCGACCGCCGGCGACTTCCCCAAGCCCAAAGTAACCGTGCACTTCAAAGCCGTCGGATCCGCGCCATCCCTAGACCAGAAAGTGTGCCGGATTAGTAGTACTCAGAGGTTCGAGACGGTGGTTGCGTATCTGAGGAGGAAGTTGAAGGTGAACGAGAGGGACAGCGTGTTTTTGTATGTTAATTCTACATTTGCGCCGGCGCTGGATGAGGTGGTGGGGAATTTACATAGGGTGAGTGCATATTTTCTTGTCTGTTTTTGATGACCTTTATGGTTTACTGAGGATGTTTGGGGATAGTGTTTCAAAGATTCGAAGGACCAGCTTATTGTCACTTATTCGATGACGCCAGCTTTTGGTTGAGGGACAGAGGGAATCTATTCAATGGCGCTATCAAAAGCTCGCTCTATTGCTTCTACGACCTCCACGAAAACGCTCATAATACAAACAACATGGTATACAGATCAAACGGACTTTTCATCTAAGGTACGCTCAACTAAGAGGCACTCAAACTCAGCAAACTCCTCCTTTGAAATCGGATATGTATGTTCTGGTGCCGGATAAGCACGGCTCTTGGTCTCATCCCTATACGACTCAATAGCCTTCAAGCTCTCGCCCCACACATCTCCATATTTCTTCACAAATTTAGGGATGAAGCGTCCAGGTGGGAAATTGCCAGTCATGTCTATTTGGACCAGCACCTGGCCAGAGCATCCATTTCCAGCACCGATACCGATTGTAGGGACGGAGAGGTTTCTGGTTATGAGTGCTGCGACTTCTGCTGGCACCGCTTCGACGACCATGGCGAAACAACCAGCTTCCTGTATGGCTAGTGCATCTTTTAGCACTTTCAACGCGCCGGCTGAGGTCTTGCCTTGTACGCGGAATCCACCGAGAGCATTTTGACGTTGGGGTGTGAGGCCAATGTGTCCCAAGACCGGGATACCGGCGGTGGTGAGCTTCTTGATTGTGGGTGCCATTTCGATTCCACCTTCAAGCTTGACACCTTGAACACGGCCTTCTTTGACGAATTTGATGGCGGTTTCTAGAGCTTGCTCAGGAGAGATTTCATATGATCCCATAGGCAGGTCGCCAACCTGAGGGCTTTGGTTAGATTTTAATTCGGCTGCCGGAGCGCGGGGCAAGGGCGGGGTGACTTACAACAAAAGAGGTCTTTGCTGCGCGGGATACTGAGCGACAATGCAAAAGCATTTCTTCCAAGAGGACCTCGCTGGTATCCTCCATGCCCATTGCCACCATGGCTAAACTATCCCCCACGAGAACTATTTCCATTCCCGCTACATCGGCAACATGACCACTGGGGAAGTCGTGGGCCGTGAGGACCGTTATAGGTTCGCCCTTCTTATACAATGTTCGTATTGAATTGAGGGTGACCTTCTTTCGATGAGCTGGCCCCGAGGATCCCATGGGCGAATGAGAGCTGAATCTGTCCTGACATTGCGACAGCAAAGGTCTGGCCGCGAATGAAGCTGGTCGAGTATACTGAGAAAGAGGTGCACGAGACCTATTCACGATAGAAATTGATCGCGACATGGCGTAAGAGCGTGGTTGTTGTTGCTTTGAAGACTATAGTTAGGATGAGTCAAAGCAATGTTATAGGGGAACATAGCAAACATGGCCATCGTTAGGTTGGGAAATTGATTTTATCAAGTCGTGATGAGTCCCACGCTGTGTTTCTCATACTGACATTCTTGAGGTTGTCAGATCGGACCTCGGGGAATCCTCAAGAGGCTAACACCTTTCTAGTCTCAGGGTCACGAGACGTCCCCCTAATGGTCAAAGAAGAGAGCAACAAGAAACGCAACTCGTTGGAAGAAGGTCATTTGGCAAAGGGATGGTTTGCGAGTCTTGCTTATCCTCAAACTTAGCATTGCATACTCCAGCAACCTGAATATCAGTAGATCTGTAATATAATCCCACCTAGAAATCTAAGCCTGTGCATCCGGCTTTGTAGATGGTGTTATTCTTGGATAATAAACCGTCACTTGTGACCCCGGAATGCGTACCTGAAATACTTCTCTTGAGATTGAGCCTTGAAATCCCAGCAGGACTTTCCGAAGCTATTCCTTTCTATTCATGATTTGAATTGCTGCAGTTGGCTCTGTGATTCTCTGAATGACGATGACTAACTCACCCTTGCATATATGACTGAAAGAACTACAGCTTTCATTTCTTTTGAATGAACTCATCGTTCGCACCTTCCATTACCCTTATCAAGTCCAAGAACGTCGTCAAGACAAATCGAAGCAAAACAAAGCAAATAAAAGCAAATAAAAGAACTGCCAATACAATTCGCTCAGGTACAGTACAGTACGCTAGTAAACGCCGATTAAGAGGAGGGGCTTGTCTTATCGTAGCGCGATAGTTCCATCATTTGACCCGACCCATTAGTATCCGCCCCGCCCCGCCCACCCCTCCACCTCCAACCTTCATTTCACACTCAACAACCCAACCGCCCAATACAAGTACCTCGCAGCCTTCAAGACAAGGGGAAAATACCCTCCATACACCCGATACAAGCCTCAAACCGACACCGTGTGCGCACAGCATAGCCAAACCCCGAGAGAGAACCGACAAGATGTCTAGTCCCAGGAGACGAATCGAGACTGATGTGAGTGAACCATGGAAACTGGATCTGCGAGTCATGAATACTGACCGTAGAATTTACTCCTGCAGGTTATGAAGTAAGTACAGTGGAAAACCTGCAAAAAAAGAGGGCTCTTGCTAACAGATGATTCAATAGGATGTACGCCCACCGCCACCACCTGCCGAACTGACCCGTACTAACTATCTGGCAGGCTGATGAGCGACTATGAGGTCACTCTGGTAAACGATAACAGTGAGTCCGGTGTCTGCGGGAAATATATTGAAGCTTTTGCTAACAAGCCTTGCGTGCAGTGTACGTTTTCTGGCCTCCGATCGAATAAAGGAGGGGTAATTGACAAACGGGATACAGGCAAGAGTTCTACGTCCGATTCAAGGGCCCAGAAGAAAGTCAGTCCTCTTCTCCTCTATACCCATAGCCGAAATATCATCCTAACGAATAAATACAGCACCCTTCCAAGGCGGCCTCTGGAAAGTGCACGTCGAACTACCAGACGCATACCCCTACAAGTCGCCCTCCATCGGCTTCGTCAACCGCATCTTCCACCCTAATATTGACGAGTTGTACGTTCTACCCCGCACACAGATCTAGAAATAACTAACACCGCCCATCTAGATCCGGCTCCGTGTGCCTCGATGTCATCAACCAGACTTGGTCGCCGATGTTCGATATGATCAATATATTCGAGGTATTTTTACCGCAGCTGTTGCGGTACCCGAACCCGACGGATCCATTGAATGGGGAAGCGGCTGCGCTGCTAATGAGGGAGCCGAAAGCGTATGAGGCGAAGGTTAAGGGTAGGCTATTTCCCCCTAATTTATTGGACTCAGGTGGGATCTGGAAAAAGGCTGATATTTGGGTAGAATATGTGATAAAGTACGCTAGCAAAGACGCCGCGGATGAAGCTGGAGCCGAATCAGACGACGACGACGACATGTCATCCGTAGGCAGCTTTGGGGACGACGATGACGAGCCGGCTGGGCAGATGGAGGAGGTTTAGGACCCAAGATGTGCTAGGCGGGAGAACTGAACATGAGAATTTTACTTCTAACGCATACTGTTTCGGTGTTTATATGGATACGGGGTTTGGCAATGGACATAGGGGCTCTATCATAGGATTTGTTCTGGCGCCTTTGTTGCATTGATGGAGCCTTTTTGCAGGCAGATTGCTTATAGCGCTGCATTAGGTTGATTTGAATTAAAGACACATCCCACCTTACTTTGAGATGACGTGAATTCTGGATTGGAAGAGGGCTATCGGCTAATATGCCAGGAACTGAATTGCTGTTTAATAAAGACACAATGCAGCGGATATCTGAAATTCGAATTTATACAAATAACACGCTGTTTTCTAAAACCGTCAGGCAAATAACGACATGGGGTTCAATACCTAGGTAAGTCTTGAAGTTTTCATTCATTCCTCTAAAAAGGAACATTTCAATCTTGTCCCCACGGAGCCAGCAGAGCATGTACAAATTTCACTAGTCTAAGGGGTATATTCCCGTCTCCAAGCAAATTTGCTCCCGGCTTCATGACAGGCAAAAGACCAGCTTTTTCTGACCCGGCATCTACCCTAAGTGTTCTATCTTCCCTCTTTCTATAAATTTTACCCATTTGTCTATCCATCTTCCCTCACTCCCAAACAATCAAATAGAATATCCCTGAAGTGACTACCAACAACCCATTACAAACCAAGAACACCGCATTCCTATATGCCTCCCCCTCCCTCATTACCCCCAGCGCAACCACTACGAAAATATTCAACGGAATCCTCAACATCCCATACACCCGCGCCCGAACCCCATCTTCCACAAACCTGCCCTTCAAATACCCCACACTAGGCCAATACATGCCCACACACAGCTCAAAAACACAGAAACTCCAGAACGTCAAACTCTCATTCCTACTCAGCAACGGCGTGAGCAGCGAACTAGAAGCCATGGCGAAGATGATGGTGAGCAGGTGGGAGGGTGACAAGAGTTGGTATTTGGAGATGAGCAGGTTGAAGAGAAGCGAGCCGAGCATGACGCTGGCCATGAAGGAGGCGAAGATCATGCCGAGGGGCAGAGAGAGGGTGGAGGGGTTAAAGGCCGCTTTTAGGGCAGGCGTCCAGAAAAATACGAAGAGGTACATGCTGCCTTCAAAGAAGCAACTGGCTAGACCGAGCGTTAGGATGCGTTTGTCGGTCAAGATTGTTTTAAGGATGCTTTGGGGGGTGATGTTTGCTGGGTTGGGGTCAACGTCGTGACTGTTGCCGTAGTTTTCACTCTGGGGGTCCGGTCAGCTATATTGAAAGTAATCAAGGAAGACAGAATCAGGAGAGGAAGGATAGGGGGAAAAGGGGGATTTATCCAGTATGCCCATATGATCCAAAAGGCAATAGTCAGTAATCCAGCACTCGCCATGAATGGAGCTCTCTTCGTATGCGTAACTTCCACGAGCCATTCGCTGAACACGCCCGACAGAATAGCAACAATGCTATTCAAAGTTGTCGTGATCCCGAACATACTGCTTAAACTCGTCCCTGATTGGTCGATGTGGCGTTTGTGGAACTCGGTCACCATCCAGCTCTCGAAAGCACTGTACATAACACTGGTGCTCAAGCCACCGAAAACTCGCCCAAAGAATAGGACGGGCAAGCTGGGGACGAGTGTTGAGAAACATGATACGGAATAGGTGACACAGAATATTAGACACGCTGTTCGGCGGCCATGCTTTTGTCGGCGAATTGACCAACGAAATAGCCTGAGATAGCACCAGAGAGAAAACCTGTAACGAAAAGAAGGCCGACTATTCTTTCTTGAAGGCCGAATTGGTCTTTATACAAACTATACACATATGGGCCTGAATAACAGATGAGCGGGTGAAAATTGAAGCTGTTTTTGAAAGAAGCGTCGCAAGCTAGTCCCCGGAGAAGAGTATGAAGGCAAGCATACCTTGAAGCCAATCTGAAGCCATCACCAAACTATACACAGTAAGAAATAGCCTCGTAAATTGGGATGCTTCTGCTTTCGCTCGAGGGGTAACCGCATTTTGCTGCGTTAGAACCTTATCATCTAGTGACATCTCATTTTTCTTGTTATATTGCTGCCATGTCAATAGACCGCAAGCACTTATTAGGGCCAGAAAGGCCGAGTCATAGGAATTCATCATGATGGGCGGATGAGTAGGAGAAAAGGAGAAAATCAATAGAAAGAGGAAAACGCGAGAGAGACTGTAAACTTATGAGTGATTCAACGACTTGGCCTGGAGAGGGATGCACGCATCCTCACCATGTTTAGACATGGAGCTGACGCAAGCATAGGATGAGGTTGGTGTTTGGAGTTCGGAAGGAACATAAGGTAGCAGAGCATGGGCAACATTCACCGCCTAGCAATACGCTAGCTGGATCTGACAGCGGGTACATTTCTGCCATATCGCATTGGCCTGATGGCTTGCTTGGTTGGTGTTAATTTCATGGAACAACTTCATTTTTATCCCACATAACCATGGATTGGTAGCGATCATTTGATAAACTAGATGGATGGCGACTGGGAGGAAGTAAGTCTGTTCCTGAAAGAAGTTGACTCCCATGCTCTTGAGAGCTTTACCGCAAAGCCCAAGTAAGCGGGGCAGCCTCGAGGACATCATCGTTGGATATCCCAGGTCCAAGTAGCAAAATGCTGAAAATCTACCTACCAGGTCGGGCGTCTGCTCCTCCCACCGGGACAGAATGCCATCCCTTCGCAAGCTCAAACAATGGCCTTCGACACTTCCCAAGAGCTGCTCTGGGTTGGAAACGAGTACGGTCGAGTCTCGAGCTTCTATAGCACCGAACTTACGCGATATACATCTTTTAAGGCAGGGGAAGGGCCTGTGAGGCAACTGCTCATACATGAGAAAGGAGTCATTGCACTCTGTGCGAGGAGTATACACATGGGATTACGGCGTGGTCCTCCATTATGGCATATAACGTACGGCCCCTCGAGTCCCTATAAACTGTGCAAGGCTGATATGCCCTCCGTATAGTCATGATGATATGAAAGACCTTCACTGTATGAGCTACACTTCCAAAGGCACGTCCGAGATACTTGTGGCTGGGCTACAGGATCAGATGTTTGCGATAGATGTGGAAAAGGGAACTGTTACAAAACAGGTAGTGGAAGCTCTGAAATTTGAGAAGTGCCTTGCTGAACCTGTAGATACCTACGGGCGATCGGTATACGAAAATGAAGCGAAGTCGATATATATGTGCTGCCACGCAGAGCGGTTCGATCAATATCCTCGATTCGACAACCTTCAGTATCGTCAGGACTTGGAATGCTCATGCGTCTCTCATCAATGATATGGATGCCCAGCACGACTTCATTGTTACTTGCGGATATTCCTTTAGAGGAGGCAATCAGCAGTCGTACATGCATGACCCCCTAGTCAATGTCTTTGATTTGAAAAATATGGTTTCTCTACCGCCGATTCCCTTTCCTGCTGGAGCAGCCTTTGTTCGGATGCACCCAAGGATGTCGACGACAAGTATTGTTGTATCCCAGCTTGGTCAAATGCATATCGTGGACCTTATGAATGTCCATACTAGCAACGTAAGACAAGCAAACGTATTTTCCTCACATTTGACAATGGTAGAAATTGCTCCATCGGGAGAGGCAATCTGTCTCGCCGATGGAGAGTGCTATATGCATCTTTGGGGATCCCCATCAAGAATTCGCTTTGCAGAACTCAGTAACCCAGTAGAATTTGCCGATGCAGAAGAAGCACAACAACAAGTAGACTGGACTCGCGGCACGTAAGTGTTCTCCTCATAGGTCTCTTGTAATACTGATCAAAAGCAGACCTCTAAATACCATCGGTATGCCATATTACCGAGAACAATTGCTATCTGCTTGGCCAAGTCATATGATCTTTGAAGTTGGGGCACCACCTTCAAAGCTTGACCCGCAGCTTGTGTCGTCTTTGAAAAGAGCGGATTGGTTTGATTATGCTCCAAACACCAGAAACGCGAGAAGAAACCAAATTGAGAATACTCGGACAACGGAGAAAACGGCGGCGAGTTTGCAGGCTCCCAAATTTTTAAGTGAAAAGGCCCGAGAGTCTGCCAATGAGGTTGCCTCGTCAGAGCGACGAATTAGTGATGTCGCTGATTCGATTGGAGCTATTGAGTTGTCCAGTCTGAAGGCAGAGGTCCCGGTAATGTATCGGAATGTTGAGATCAAATACAGCAAGTTTGGAGTCGATGATTTTGACTTTGGGTATGACTGCTTTGCAGGCAGGAAAGGCGATTACTAACTGTTTGCAGTTTTTACAACAAAACAGCGTATTCTGGACTCGAGATCCATATCTCGAATTCATATGCAAATCCACTATTGCAGGTCATGCATTTCACACCCTTGATACGGAATGCCGCATTGCAGCATACAGCAACCGGGTGCATTAATGACCTATGTCTATTATGCGAAATGGGCTTTCTATTTGACATGCTAGAGAAAGCTGAAGGCTCTATATGCCAGGCGACAAATATGTTGAAGACTTTCAGTAATCATCCTCAAGGTATGAGATTTTATTCTTGAACGGGTGTTTATTACTAAAAATACATATAGCTGGCCCACTTGGTCTATTAGAAGAAGACGCCCCTGGGTCTTCTCTAACAGTAATGCTTCAGGGTCTGAATCGATTTTTGTTGGACAGAATAGCTCAGGACTTTAGGAGCTTACCCCCTTATTCTCCTGCTTTGGACCGTGTATGCCTCTGTCGAGTCATTTCCTCTTTGATCTCGTTTACTGACAACAGTAGATCCTGGCTACTGCAGCTACTACCGCGATCCGGTGTGCGAGTTGTAGAAATGAGCATACGCGACCTGGGACTACATTCGTCAATGACTTGGTTTATCCCCCACCGGTACTATTATCTCATCCGATATGAATTAAACAAGCTAACGTTCCCAGAAACTCGCTGTAAGAAATGCCCGGGCACCAAAAATGTCCTTCTGTCAGATTCTCAAAATAAGTGTCGAGCGTGAAAGTACAGGCCGAGGATGGTGCAGCAGGTGTCAACGATACCAGAACCTTGCAACACGCAAAACAATACACAGTGTTCCGCCTGTCCTCATGCTGAATGCTGCAATCACAACACCTGATGCTAAGCAACTATGGTCAACACCTAACTGGCTGCCCGAAGAAATAGGGGTCATAGTAGACCAAGGGCAGTTCTTTTGCTACCAAGGAGATGATCTCAAACTCCACCTGCAACGTGGGGTACATAATATGGTTGTCTACTCTCTCGTTGGTCTTGCCGCCGATATTGACAGTGGGCAACATCAAAAATCACATCTCGTCTCATTAGTAAACGGTAAGTTCCCCTTTGCGTTCAGATGGCAACTACTAATATTTCATAGTGGCACACTCACAGCCAACGGCACCGGAAGAGAGCCAATGGCATCTCTTCAATGACTTTTTGGTCCGGCCGATGCAGGCAAAAGAAGCTCTTACCTTCAATACGTCCTGGAAAGTCCCATCGGTGATCGCATACCAGGCGAAGCAATTCAACAACAGAATAGACAATTCGTGGAAGCAGAACTTGGATACATCTCTGCTTTATTTAGATCACAAGTACGTCCATCCATAATCCCATAAATATCCCAAAGTATTGATCCCCGAATAGCATGAACCCAGGCGAACGAACATACCGTCCCCTAACCCCACAAGAGGCACCCGCCGAGGGCACCATCATAGCCCTCGACACGGAGTTCGTCGCGTCCGCCAACCCGAAATCGAAATGAATTCGGACGGCGAACGCGAGACGATCCGCCCCATAGTGTATGCCCTAGCCCGGGTCTCGGTCGTGCGCGGCGCAGGCGAAGACCAGGGTCTCCCCTTCATCGACGACTACATCGCCTCCAAAGAACCTATCGTCGACTACCTAACCTCCTACTCTGGTATTGTGCACGGCGACCTCGATCCCCGGCTCTCGAAACACAACCTCGTCCCACTCAAAGTCGCGTACAAGAAGCTCTGGATCTTGCTGAACAGCGGCTGCAAATTCCTCGGCCACGGTCTCAAGCAGGATTTTCGAGTGACGAATATCCATGTCCCGCGCGCACAGGTCATCGACACCATCGACCTCTTCTTCGTCAAAGCACGGCTGCGCAAATTGTCACTGGCGTTCTTGGCTTGGTATCTTTTGAAAGAGGATATCCAGCTGGAGACGCATGACAGTATCGAGGATGCGCGCACGGCGTTGAAGCTGTATCGCAAGTGGGAGGAGTACCAGGATGCAGGGATCCTGGACACGATTCTGGGGGATATCTATCGCACGGGCAGGGAGTTGAATTATAAACCTCCGGCGGCGAAGAAGGATGGCCTGCTCATTGAACGCACGCAGACGCCGCCGATTTTGGCTGCAGGCGGTGGGGGTGGGGGTGAGGGTCTAGGGAGTGCGAGTGGGCCCACGACGCCGGTCAGGAGGCCTGTTGGCCTTGCGCCTGGCAGTGCGGGAACTGGAGGCTCGAATTTCGGGTCTAGTGGCTGGACGCCGGGGAAGGGGAGTGGGTTGGGGGGGTCGCCGTTGAGATAGATAGATACAGTAGAATAGGTAGATGTCTTTGGTAAAGTAGAAATGAAAACGACGGAGGAATTTCTTAATTAACACTAACTATTACTATGATAAATAGACTTTGTCACAAGTGTAGTGAGAACGTGGTACGAGTTTAAATTCATCGTAAAGTAAACTAGGTAGTTATCCGCTTGCTCGTCGTGGGAGAGATCCTTCTAAGTGATGTTCTAGTTTATACCCATCCCATCCGAATAAAACGCCTCCAAGTAAACATGCTGCGCTATTGCTATTCCCACAAACATCCGAGCCGAGCCCAGCCCGGCCCAGCCATTATACGCCATACATGCTGCTAAGTATAAAACAAACGGGGGGTGGAGGGGTCAGTCGGCACTAGTGCTCAAATCATAATTCTTCTCCCACAAACTCCTCAGCACAGCACCAACACCCTCATCCCCAGTATCCCTAGCGACGGAATCCACACTCCCTGCGCCTACTCCACCCTGTTCCTGGCCCTCGTAACTTCCCCCCCTCCCCCTACCGCCCCTCCCCTCCTTCAAGCTCTGACTTAAGCCATAATCCCCGTTCCCATTTCCATTCCCATTCCCAAGCCGCTTCCTGGGGCTCCCTCCCTCCCTCTGTGCAGCCACAGGAATCCGTTGATACTTCTCCATCCCCGGTAATTGCCTTAAGCGCTTCACTGCCTGCCCAACAGGATCCCGATACCGCCTGACACCCAAGTACTCCAGCCCTGTCCGCTCCAACTGCAGCTTGATGCGGGGATCGAGCCCTTCGTAGCCGACGGGGGTGATGGGCTCGTGGATGGATGATTGGCGCTGTAGCCACATTTTCTGTTCCGTGCGTGATTGCCGGGGTGGGTTGTCTGCTGTAGATTTGGATTTGTGCTTGGTGGATGTCGGTTTGCGGGAGCGCGGTTTTAAGGCGCTGGCAGAGGAGATGGATGAGGCGGAGGAGTTGCGGGAGAGGTTTGCCATGCTTTGGGCGCGCCTGGGTTCGGCGGTGGTGGAGGGTTTGGGGGAAAGAG